AATCTACGCGAGTCGGACGCCAGCAGTTGATAGAGGATATTCCAAGCATTTAAGCGCCTCAGCCGATTAGTCTCTTATCACCTGTTAAAGACATGCGAGTTTTATTAATTGGATATTAAGTTTTGAGTAGTCTGATAATTGGTAGCTGAATGCGTCCGGTCTCTTTTTGGTCATGATTTCAAGTGGCGTGCCGAGCCAAGAAACAGTCGATTGAACCGAAGGTCGGACTACAAAATCTTTCTGCCGGGCTGAGTGTAACATACGTTTTTGTAGATAGTATTGCCGGCAAAGAAAAGGGAGACTGGAATGGCCATTTGTGGCTTATTAGCCGTCGTCAGCCAGCCATATCCAGACCAAAGTGGTGTCTCACCCGAGCGTCGCGCTACATATGACTGGCTGACGATGGCTATTAAGCCAGAAATGGCCATTCCAGTCTCCCTTGTCTTTGCCGGCAATACTATCCGGCTATACTACCAGCTGTTATGTCTGTCAGGACCTCTGCGGTGGCCCAAGCCAGAGTGGGATAGATGAGTTCCGTTAGCGGTCAAATGAACGTTCATTAACGAGAATACATTTTTGTGTTGCGTTCGGATTTTTATTCAGAAACCGAAACGTCACGTAAAAATCCTTTGATATTTTGCTATATTAGTAAAGAAAAAGGGGATCGAGTGCTGTTGATTTATCGCGTCTCTTTTTTTACCTTAGTATACAACCCCAGCACAGAGGCCGTGGTTGCCGAGGTTCCGGCGCTTACAAGCACTGAAGTTAATACCGCCATTACCTTCGCAGCTGAGGCACAGAGGGCCTGGGCCGCGAAAACTGCGGGTGAACGGGCTTCCGTCATTAGGCGCTGGGCTGATGTTCTTCGCGCACAGACCCCTCTTCTTGCCGAGCTAATTACCACCGAAAATGTGAGCGTCAAACTACTGCTGTCTACGTTGTCTGCTTGGAAAATCTTGATGAGTTTACTGTTCCTTCGCGGTGTTATAATGCGCCCCTGGTAGAGAAAGATACACTTTATTTTGAACATATAATTCCAAATTTTTCAAAAAACGTCCTCCATTCAAAAGGAATAAAATTAGGCGCACGAGTCCACAACACCAGGAAATCAAAAGTAATCCATAATCGCCAATGACTGAATTTTTCGATATCGTGGATAAATATCCTTGGAAAAATCGTCAACTATAGGCCAAATTGCACTGGTTTTAAAACGGCGCTAGCATCGTGACCTTGTGCACTCATGACCTCGTTGTAGTTCAAATAAACAATGGTGGATAAAATTCGGTTTATAATGGGCAAGGTAGGCCAACCGACATATATATAAGAAAAGTTACATGCAAATGG